TGATTTTGAGTAAAACAATTACTATTAATTAGCCTTTATTGACTTTTCCTTTTTTTTTTCTAAAAAACTTCTCGTACAACAGACACCGAAATATTTTTTTAGCTGAATTCATTTAATTTCAATTTTGAATCCTTATTGAATTTAAAATCTAAAAATTTCAAATTTTAGTAAAGCGAAACAACTTTTGGAATTTTCATGTAAATAAATATGAAAAAAATGTTTGAATGAATGAGTGGATGAGCACTAAAATAATTATTAATTATTAATTAATATACAAATGCATTAATGTAACTAAGTTTTTAAATGAGACTGAAAAGAAGTTTTCTTTTTTAAAATTTCCAATGTTCGTTTGTAGAACGAATTATTAAACAATAACTATTAATTAATACTTGTTTCCATTTATTGCCATTAATTTGCTAATAAATTTGAACATCGCTTCATGCTAACATCATTACACTTCTAATTCCTTTTCTATTTTATGAAAAAAAAAAACGAAATTTTTTTGACTAGATTTTGAAAAGTTTTACCATTCACCGATACTACCTTATGCAATTATTTAACTAATATTTCCTTATAACATAATTATTTAATTACTGTTTCTTTAAAGTATAACTTTTTAATTAATGTTTTCATACATTGTAAATATTTAAATTAATATTTCCTCATATTATAAGTAATATCTACTTTGATGACACTAAAATATTATCGAAAGTACAAATTTAAGTATTTTGATTTTAATTAAGTAAAAAATATATAACAAGAAAAGTAAAATAAAATTTCATTAGTTAAAAATTAAAAATTATAGTTGCATCGTTTTTAGACAATTTTTTATTCCTTTTTTTTTTCTCTTTCATCTCTCTTTAGATATTTAACTTTTTAAATTTCTCTTTTTCATCCTAACATATTTACATTGTAAATGATATTAATCTGAAATTGCTATAAACGTTAATGAAATTACACACGATGCTTCAATTAATTAGCGACATAAAGATTAATTAATACAAAGATTAATTAGCAATATTACAGTAATAGGAAGTGATGATTGGACAATAAAATGTTTGGATTTAATGATTTTGATGTTATATATGTTACACAATTTATTTGATTTATTGATCATCTATATCTAAGCCAAACGAAAATATGATGAAAAGAAAAATTGCAACTGATAAAAGTATTATTATTACTTTTTTTTCTTTGCATTGTTAAATAAAATGTTGCATATTTAGTTTATCAGTGATATTGTAAACATTTAAGAAAGCAAAAATGAAATTATTGATATATCTACTTAGATAAGTGCTATGAAAATTATCGGAGTTATTGGAGAAGGGAGAAGAAGAAACGAATAAAGTTTAATGATGTTACTGTTAATAATATTGAAATGTAATAAGGATCAGGTTATAATCATTTCAGGTTTTTGTAAATTTTAATTTATTCTTATTTGTTAGCAATTCCAAACTTACTATCTTTTCAATTTATGTGGAATTTTTTTTTCAACTTATTTTTGATTTAATCGCTTTAAATGCTTTAATTTTGAAAATGATATTAAGTTGATCGACTTGACAGAGTTCTATGAGTACTATCCGTTTTAATCAAATTTCAAGTTTTCCTAATGATAGATACCCAAAATAGTTTACATAACAAGTGTGTATTTCAGATTTTATCATTTAGCGATAATTTGTTTTACGAAACAACAATCAATCTTGAATTACTGATAAAAATTGCTGAATTTAATTGGATAAGTAACGAATCTTTTCATTCACCCATTATAGTAATGATGAATTTCAATTCGGTAAAAACTTTAAATTATTTTATTTAAGTTAATTTAAACATAAATAAAATGATCTTAACTTGTATGAATCAAACAACTAACCGATAGCAAAATGAGTACGTTGTAGCTGATAAAATTTATCATTGTTCAATACATCTGTGCTATTTTGCAATACCAGTCCATGGTTATTTCCATTATGCAATAATTTTTTACATGAAATTTTATTTACATCCAAAAATTTTTTGCTCCAATACTCTGATACGATGCATCATAACGTATATATTCACATTCTGATATATCATTGATTACAATAGTCGTTTCCGATAAACTACCATCATTATGATTAAGAAGTTTAGAAGCACATCTTTCAAATTTTGATTCTGGAAAAAATTTAATGTATTACTGAAAGAAAAGATACTGTTAGGATCAATTAATTTAGATACAATAAAAGATGTTGAGATACTTTCTTCATCGTTTCACAATACTACTTTCTTGATTGTTCATAAATGATCAAAAGTATTTTCTAAGATTTAGATGATGGGAATTTTTCATCACCTATGACAATTCACGTGCAATATCTTCTTTTCTTCTTTCTTATCTTCAAAAAAAAAAAAAAAAAAAAAAAATAGAAAAAAGAAATTCAAAATGAATCTGAGCAAATGATAATAACGTTTCACATGATGCAAAAATTCAAATGCATCATTAATTCGAAGGTCAAAATAAGAAATTAAATCAAAGAGAAATGGATCGGTTTTTTTCTTCTTCTAAAGAAAAAAAGCTATTTCACACGATCCAATCAAATGAAAATTAAAAATTTAACGATGAACATATTTCGCTATTTCGCAAATAATTATATGCAATATTTTTAATGGCCTAATTATGCTGATTTTCTCAGAGTAGTTATAATCAGAAAAAAAGGGAGGAAAAAAAAAGAAAATTCTTCAGCAGGGAAAAAAGTTGGAATGAAAATACAATTTTAGAACAAAAAAAAAAAAGAAAAATTGGAAATAGGGAACGAAAGGAGAAATGATAGAAAATAATGAGAAATTCCCAAAAAAAATCCACATTGCTGCTAATCATTGCTTGAACAAATTAATTGATTAAAAAATTTAATTATTGCAATTTAATTGCATACTCCTACGCAAAATGCACCAAAAACTCGTCGAACAATCATTTCAAATATTATTTTATAAAAGAAAAATAAGGATTCGAAGAAAATAATTCTATTTATTGTTTATATATATACAATAGAAAAATTTAATTAATTATCAAATTAAAATTGAATAAAATCTACAGTTGAAAAGAAAAAGAATTAATTAAATAGATGGGTAAATACCCAGCAAAATGGTGAAGATGACGAATAATTATGCTGAAAAAAACCGAAATGAAATGTCGTTTTATTGATATAAGTGGCCTTTTTTAATTATTTATATTTGACTGCATGAAAAATTCATTATTACTACTACCATTATGATTAGTACTATATCATTATCATGATTACCAATATATCATTAAATACCAAATACCAATATATCATTAAATGGTATTATTATTATTACTATTATTATTATTATTATTATTATTATTATTATTATTATTATTATTATTATTATTATTATTATTATTATTATTATTATTATTATTATTATTATTATTATTATTATTATTATTATTATTATTATTATTATTATTATTATTATTATTATTATTATTATTATTATTA